GCCCCATCTTCCTTCCGAGGAGTGGCTGGTGGGTTTGAACCGCCAGACTTCTGATTAGCAGTCAAGTGCCTTAGGCACTATGCTACCAGAGCTCCTATTAATAATATAGAAAACTAAATTCAAAACAACTACTATTTTACTCTTATCTATCATCTGATCACATACTAGAGAAGAGATTATTTTTATGAGGACTAGTCCTCCTTAGGAGAGAAATGTTAGCATACTATTTCTATAAAGAAATGCAGATTGAAATATCTGAAGTTAGGTAAATGGGGGAGGGGAGGGCAAATTAAATATTAGAAACCACAGGAATCTCTTCCTCAAACATTAGAAGTCTCCTTTAATACTTTAATAGCCCTCAACATCCTATTCACAATCATAAAAAGTTCATCAAAGTCAATCATAATGGACAATCCCCAAAGGATAAAACTGAGGAAACTCCTGGATAATTTTTATAGCTTCATTGTAGAGTCCAAGATCAAAAGGATGGTTATCTTCCTTAAACTGGAAGAATATGATGCTATAATTTGTTTTGTTAATCTAAGTACCTGTGTCCTTCTTCATAGCTGCACATTCTGCTACGTATTGTGATGATGGAAGAAGTATTTTAAACTCATATTTGGAGGACTCACTTCCGACTTGGAGTATAAGCTACAAAGGAATCCCTATCAAAGTGTCAGGATGCTCACTTGGAAGTGGGAGCATTACTGCTGGACAACTACATATGCACTAAGTACCTAGTCCAGAGTCAGTGGAAAAGTACAGGGCATTTACTGGCTGAAGTTGGATGCTATCACTGAAGATTCCAGATAATAGTCAGAACCAAAACTAACTCACTGCCATCCAGTTGATTCTGACTCATGGTGACCCCCACTGGATTTCAAAGGGAGCTCTGGAGGCACAGTCAAATAACTGCTAACCGGAAGGTTGGGGGTTCAAACCCACCAGCCACTCTGCGGAAGGAAGACTGGGCAATCTACTTCTATAAAGATTTACCACCTTGGAAACCCAAAGGGGGTCACTATGAGTGGGAATCCACTTGATGGCAGTGAGTTTGGTTTGGTTTGGTTTAAATCTTTACAGAAGCAGACTGCCTCATCTATTCTTCTGCAGAACAGTTGGTAGGTTCAAACCACCAACCTTATGGTTAGCAGCCAAGTACCTTAACCACTGCACCACCAGAGCTCCTTTAGGCATAACTGGTAGAATTTACAGCTTTGCCTCTGCATATGCTGTGAGCTCTTCAACAAGTAACAACTCAACTGTGTCTCCAGAACCTCCTTGCCTAATAAGAGGAAACAGTCTTACTTTTCTTCCTAGATCATTAGTCTGGGTTATCAATTTCCTGAAGATTTTGGAGAGTAGAAAATACTACTTTTTTCTATCAGAAAGGCTATTATATCCTATGGAAAAAGCTTGGAATTAAGCCATGAGAGATATGGATTATTGCCTTGACTTCCCCAGTATGTGACCTTGGGCAAGAAACCAAACAGCCCTGACTCTTATTTCCTCACTTACTAAACAGGTTAACAACAATGACTTCTTAGGTAGCTCCTGAGAAAATAAAATAAGAAACCAATTGTGAAGGGGCTCTGACGTGATCCATTGAGTTAAAGCTAAAAACGGAAAGTCCTTGAAGGAGAAGACTACGAGAGGACGTACTCTGCTGTTTCGGAACCCTTTTGGTGGATGGTTTCAGGACTAGGAGATTCTGAGTATGTGTGACTTTTCCCCACCTGAATCCAGTTTGTCATTTCTCCCATTCTCCACTCGGAGAGGTCTGCCTCTTTTCACTCTTTCTAGAGACTGCACTTACGTCCTGTCCATCGTCCAAATTTCTGTAATCGTCGCCGCAGGCATTTAGGGCACACCTGCCTGTGGCCTCCCCTTCCTTACCGCCTCCAGGGTGTGGGGCCTTCACCCATTTCCTGCCCTGCAGGAACAGCACTCGAAGGGGCCCCTGCTCCTCCCAGGCAGACCCTCCCCTCCCGTCTGAGGCCTTCAGGGATCGCTGTGCACCCTGGACCTCAGCACCGCACTCTTGGGTCCAGCTAAACCCTCCTCTCAGGCCGCAGACCTCTCCCCTGAAGTTGGCTTCTCTCAGGGCCCAGGCCGGCCAGGTCAGGGCCGCAGGGGCCGCGGGCAGAAGGCGGTGACACCTACAGCCCGGAGGCGGGGGCCTGACGGCGCGGCCCCGCCTCGCCCTGGCTCACTGACCCGAGCCCGCGGCCTCACTCACCCCAGCGGCGCGCGCCCGAAGATAGACAAAGGCCGGCACCCAGCCCCCAGTCGCGCCGGCGCAAGTGTAGCAGGACTACAACTCCCAGGAGCCTCCGCGCGAGCTCTCCCGCCTGCCAGGCCCGAGACTCGGAGGCCCCAGCTTCCTGAAGCACTGTGGGAAGCGTAGTTCGGGGGCACACCCGACCGCGCAGTCTCTGCCAGGCAGAGCGGGTTCTGGGATGAGCCGGGTTCTGGCCTCTCCGCTGAGTCCCGAGTCCCGCTCCTGGAGCTTCAAGACACTGACCTGATTGCGGAGCAGAGCCAGACCGAGGCAGTAACGTGGGCGCTAAGATTAGCAGCATCGTACTGTTTGAACCCACCAAGCGCTCTGGGGAAAAAGTTGTGGCAGTGTGCTTCTTAAAGATTTGTTATTGTTGTTGTTGTTGTTGTTATGTGCCCTCGAGTCGGACCCAACTCATAGCGACCCCTCCTTGGGTTTCCCAGGCAGTATCACTACGGAAGTAGATTGCCCCATCTTCCTTCCGAGGAGTGGCTGGTGGGAAGATTTACAGCCTTGGAAACCTCTGCCATGTAGGGTCGCTAGGAGTCGCCGTCGACTGGACGGGAACAGAATGACAGCATGAAGAAACCCAGTCCACGAAATCAGGGATCCGGGGAAGGGAACAAAATCTTGGAGAGAAATCAGTTAATAAAGCCTTAGTGTTAAGCTGCTGCGTGAGCAAAACCTAAGCATTCCGCAAGTAGGGCTCCGAGGCTAGGAACAAATATTTCAAAACTGTGAGAAAAGATAATTTGGAACAGCACAGTGGATTTCCAGGGCCTGGCAGGAGGATACCTTCTGTGAGGTGAAGAACTATTTTCTTCTGACCCACTGATAAGAATTCTCACTAGCTTTTTCGTGAGGAGGAATAGTAGGAGATAGGTTGGAATTGTCTTAACTTGCATCTGGGCACCACAACTGACTAACCATGGGATTTTGGTCAGGCTTCTTACTTGGTGGAGGAGGCCAAGGACGGGGTCAGGTGGCAGAGGCAGGAGCTGGGTGAAGGCATCATTGGAAGAGCCAGGGTCTAGGTCAGGCCCTTCAGAGTAAAGGCAGGCATGTGACTGAACCTAGAAGAAATAGTTATGCACGTACTGTATGAATTATGGAGAGAAAACAATATTTCCTGAGGTGACAAATTAGATTTTTCTTTTTTGACTGAAGTTGTGACTGAAGCATTGATAAATTGTAAATCCTGAAATTCAGCACAAGGGGTAAGAGCTCTTATTCATGGGGCTTCTCTGAACACAGACAAGATCAAACCAAACCCACTGCCATTGAGTCAGTTCCAACTGATGGTGAACCCTATTGGGTTTCCAAGGCTGTAAATCTTTAGGGAAGTAGATTGCCTCATCTTCCTCCCACGTAGCAGCTGGTGGGTTTGAACCACCATCCCTCTGGTTAGAAACCAAATGCTTTACCCATTACCCACCAGAGCTCCTTGAGATAAGTCCAGAGGCAGTCAAATCCTTGGTTCTACTGTATGATTCTGGGAGGGAAGCAAGGTTGCATTTGAACATATATGAGATAATGGATTCCTAAAATGCCTTAATATGCTGTGGTGGCATAGTGGATAAGGCATTTGACTGCTAACCAGAAGGTTGGTGGTTCAAACCCATCAGCCGCTCCATGGAAGGAAGATGGGGCAATCTACTTCCGTAGTGATACTGCCTAGGAAACCCAGTGGGCATCACTATGAGTTGGAATCAACTTGATAGCAGTGAGTTTGGTTTTTTTTTTTTTTTTTCAGATATGCTGTTATCAGACCCTGACCTCTGCAAGAGGAATGGCATTTAAGTTCCTGATAGTTTAAGCTTCAGCTGGGGCTTCAGCCTTCCAAATTGTCTTCTTTTTTTTTTTTTTTCTCTCATCTTGAATTTCTCCTGCCCAGTATACTTCTCTCCAAGAACCCAGCTTCCAGAGCTTCCACTCAGTAGATTTGCCTATCCTATTAAATAAAGCACTTCCTAAGAAATGTTTCTTTCAATATACTACTACTATATGTTACTTACTGTACTTTTTACTATACCACTACCATTCCTACTTCCAATGCTACTTCTAATGTTGTATAATCTACCTAAAAGCCACACATCTGTTAAACAGAACAAAACAAAATAAATTTCACACAGTATGCAAAAGTGCTGTGTAAATAGTAAATTGATTTCTAAATGTCAGTTATTATAACAAATAATATTTAGTTTCAGTCAGAAAATATTTGTTGAGTCCTTTTTTCAGTGTCAGAAGCTGTGCAGGGTATTGGGGACATAAATATGAACAAGACATAACCTTTATTCCCAGGGCCCTGACAGTGTAGCTGAGAAGACAATCACAGTATATTCCTTAAAACCTAGGCTGGCAATGATCACACAGAGAAGTCCCTGGAGCATTCAGCGGACATTGCCGTGAAGTCCCCCACTCCTATAACTCACCTCAGCATGATTGCAGAGGTCTGTATGGCATCATTAGTTTTAAAGTCAGAGACAGACACGGGTAGGGATATTAGGAGATGGGGTTCCATAAAGCAAAGTTTAGCCCGGGCAAGGCACAGCAAAGGTCCGGTTTTATTAATGTGGTGCTGTATGTATGTTTCTACTCCCTTCTCTCCCAAGACTCTGTGTCAGACCAGGGAGGTTATGCACTCCTTAGAATAACCAACCACACAAGATCAAAAGGGCAGTATTTACTCAGGGATAAAGCTCAGAAGGCAGGAAAGGATAGGAAAGAAGTATGAATGGAAATGGTAAACACGGGGAGCAAGTGGCAAGAGTGCTGTTACTTTGTGGGGATTGCAATCAATGTCACGAAACAAAATGTGTATGCATGTTGAATGGAAAACCAATTTGCTCTGTAAACTTTGACCTAAATCACAATAAATTTTTTTTTTTTTTTAAAAAAACGACTCTGTGTCATTAAGACTGCTCTACACCTAGGGCCCAAAATCATTTCCAGTGCTAACAAACAGCACCAAGCACCTCAAGGTCACCAGGACATATTAGTTCTGTTAGATCAGTACCAGCTGTGGACATTAGGACACACGTTTCAGATCCCTTGGTGGGGAAAGGCAGCTGTGAAGTAGGACTGCAGTCACTTTTCTTTTTTTCTTCATATAAATCTGCATAAACTCCCTTAAGGGGTTTTATGAAATGAAAACATTGAAAGGAAAGTGGGGGAGAAAGTAGTTGAGATTGGAGTTGAAAATCCCAGAGACCGAACACTCCCTAGACAGATACTTACCAGTCTTTGCTTAGGTCTTTAATGAGGCCCAGTACTCAACCAACCCCTGCATCTTAAGGCAAATACTTAAGAGGAGGGAGGGGAAAAGGGCGAGTGGGAAAGAGAAATCTTTGTCAGAAGTGTAGTTTTGAAAAATTGCCAAAGAACCATTCTTTCACTTTGCATGCACTTTAAAACAGGGGAAGTTCAGATAATTTAATAAACAGTGTTAGGGCAAAGGCTAACCACTATTTTTTTTTTTTTTGGTAGGGGCGGTAGTTATATATTTTACCTAGCTCCTTATGCTAAAATAACCTCCAGATGGATTCAATGTAAAATGTAAAACACAGATCCAATAAAAGACCCCAAAGAACATATGTATTAATAGTTTTATAATCTTGGCATAATAAAAGCTTTCCTAACCATGGTAACAAAGACAGAAACAATAAAGAAAAATATTGCTGGATTTGACTGCATTAAAATCCAACACTTTGATATGACAAAACATCACTGAATGAAGTTAACATATGACAAACTGGGAAAATATTGTCATATTTAAAGATATCATGTAGGCTACAAAGAAAAAGACAATATTTCAACAGAAATTTGGCAAAGAACAAGCAACTCACAAAAGAAAAATATAAAAATAAATATAAGAAAAATGTTCAAATTTACTATTCATTAAAAAAATAAAAGCCAACTGAGACAAAGAAAAATGTTTCTCATTTGTCTACTGAATGGCAAAGATGGCAAAGGGGGCTAGGGAAGTGGACATTTTTATCCACGTGTGAATTGGAGACAACTATTCTCATTAGAAATGTAGCAATGTGTATCAAATGTCCTAAAACTGTACTCATTACTTTTAAAATATTTTACCAAGGGGATAAATCAGATAATTAGATAATTATATCCCAAATATGGGATGAAAGCTGTAGTATCTTGGTTTCTAGAGTGAATTATTTTCTTGGAAAGGACTTCCAGTTCCTTTTAAAAGAGTGGCTGCCCCAGAACTTTCCAGAAGACGGTGTGAAGCTCATGTCCTTTACTTGCTGTCATAGCACTGAACAAAGCATTTGGGTTGAGAATGGTAGAATGAGGGTTCACCCTCCTGGAAGCCTTTATTACAACAATTGCCATCATGTTTCAGTTCCTGCCAGAAATGCAAACGTCTTTAATTATCTCTTAGCTACTACGTTCACCCTACACCCCATAATACTCTGTACGTTCCCTGAACTAACCCATCTTCCCAAACCATCTCATTATGTCTATTATGGAGGCTAAGTGTTTGGGAGAAAGTTGACTTTCTCGCTGTCTCTGCTTAGTGATCAAACTTGAGTAGTTGTACTCACCAGAGAGAAAGATCCATGCTTTGGTACAGTTCTCTGAAAAGGTTTTGAACCCTGGGAAAGAGTAACCCAAGTGTCGATTTGCCAACTATTTACGAGGGCTGGATGTGGGAGCTCTAGTGGGGTAGTGGTTAAGGCATTTGTCTGCTAAGCAAAAGGTCAATGGTTCAAACCTATCAGCTGGTTCATGGAAGAAAGATGAGGCATTTGGGTCACTACAAGTCAGAATTGGCCTGATGGCAGTGAGTTTGGTTTGGTTTTTTTGAAAGTCTTCCTAGCTTGTCCTGGGATAAGCCATTCCTCTTGTCTGTAGCTACCTCTGTCTCTTTGACTAAACATGCCTTGTATTTGCTCTCACTACTCTTACCTGGTTTGTAAATTCAAAATACTAATGATTTGGACTCAATGATGCCTAGTGTGTAATATTATCTAACCCTCATTGCTTTTATCCCTCATAA